GTTTATTTGCTTTGCTTTAATGATACGACTTATTACCAATCGTAATAGTAGAGTCCACAAGCGGTCAAAAACACCCACGATGTTGTTATGTGGGCGCCGAAATTTGATTTTGCAAAACAAGTCATTGTGTAAAATATGAATATGTACATATATACTTGTATATATATACAAATATACATAAGTGTTTATGCACTTATATATACACTGAAAAAAGAGTTTAGTTACGTCAACTAAATGTGTTTCTCACAATACGTGATTTAGTTAGATTATTTGGTTATAGTTAACAAATCATCATGTTGAGGGAAATATATGTATGTATTTAGCTTACTTTCTTCTGAGTGTATGTATACCAAATCGTAATACCAGTTACCAGTATACGCAACCACTCAGATAATATTGATATCGTTAGTCTTAACACACCAGGCCTATATAATAGAGAAGAAGGCAAAATGTATTGGTCGAGCAGTCACTTAAAATTAGACATGGAACCTGCTGGAAACAAACAACTCTTCCTCTTCTTTATTGGCGCTGTAACCGTGTAAGTGATTTTGACCGAGTCCAAAACAGCACGCCAGTCGTTTCTCATCTGTGCCTACTGACGTCAATTGGAAATGCTAAGTGAAGCCAAGTCCTTCTCCACGTGGTCTTTCCAAAGCAAAGTGGTCTTCCCTTACTCTTCCTCTGTTACCAGCATCGCGAACCGCGTTGAATTATGTCTATATCATGGTAAAGCTCATTGTTAAATCGTCTGCGGTATTCCCCATCGCTAACGCGTAAAGGTCCGAAAATCTTTCGCAGAATCTCTCTCTCGCAAATTCCAAGGGCCGCTTCAACAGATGTTTTCATTGTCGATGCCTCCGCGCCTCATTTTTGCAGATCTTATTATCTTCTCCAACATGAGATTAAAGAAATCACATGAAAGGAGGTCACCCTGTCTGAAACCTCGTTTGGTAGCAAACGGCTAAGATAGGTCTTTCCTAATCCACAGCCGTATCAGTTTCCTGGCAATACCCAATTTTATGCTGTCGAAAGCTTCTTTGAAATCGACATGGTGCATGGTGTGTGTCGCTCCTATTCTCACGAGTGTTTTCCCAAATTTAACATATTATGAATACCTGGTTTATGGTGCCTTTGCCAGGTCTAAAGCAACATTGATAAGGCGCAAACAGTTCGTTAACGGTGGTCTTCAGTCTTTCACACAATACGCTCGATAAGACCTTGTATCCTATGCTTAGACGGCAGATCCCGCGGTAGTTGTCGCGTATGGCGGATTGGGTAGAGTATGCTAAAATTGAAGTCGTCCGCATGCGTTCATCTGACCATATTCTGCATAAGAGTTGATGCATACACATTATTAGCCGTACCTAAATAGGTCCAGCAGCTTTGTTGTTTTTCAGCCGCGTAATTTCTATTCGTACTTCGTCATAGACAGGCGATCTTACATCGCTTCCGTCGTTGTCGACTGGGGGCTCGGGTTCATCTTCTCCACTGGTTTCAGTCCTGTTTTTATTTAATAGGGGGGAAATTGTTGTCGATAATTTAAGTCTGTTCTAGATATTGGTCACCAGTTCACGTGGTAATTTTAACAGAATTGGCCTCGGGTCTTGAAACCTTCCGTAAATCGTCTAACTTTCTGAACAAATTTTCGTGCGTTTTGACCGACCGCCACCATTTCAACACTCTTTTAATTAGGGAAAATACGCAGGGTTGCTCTGTAGGCTATTTGCACATTTATGACTTCCGTCTATCACAAAATGATAGATTTGGTTTATCATCTTTCGATCTGAGGCAGCCAGGTAGCCTAATGTATACTCTGTGCTGCACTCTGCCATATTTCGGGCCCAGGTGAAGCTGATCCGACTCAACTTGTTCTGGAACCTGAATTTTCCCACAATGGAACCAATGATGCTTCCTTGCCCGCCCTGGACTTTATATTGCTAAGCACGATTTTTCCATCGTGACGGAGGCAGTGCTCGTAGGTTGTTCCAAGCACACATAGGATTGGTCGCCGGGTGCCTCGTTTATTCTCTTATGTCGGGCCGTAGCCACAAATAAGCGAGATACTGACAACGTGGCGGGTCTCAACCCAGAGATCGCGGCCGGAAGAGTAGGAATTGAGTATAGTCGAGCAATTGTATTCGCATACCCAGAAGCCCTACTAAATCCCATTGCACCGCAGCTCAGGGGTATTTCACGACCATCTCGAGACTAGTTCGGGTTCATTTCGGGACCGATTCGGAACCTGTTCAGGACCATTTTTGGACTGGTTCAGCACTATTTCAAGACCATTTCGGGATAATTCTTGACTACGTACTTCAGGCCCTTTTTCGTGAACATTTCGGGACTAGTTTGGCATCATTTTGTTACTAGATAGTAGGGACCATTTCGGTCAAAAAACAAAAAATTTAAAAATTTTACTTTTGAGGTCTCGTTGAATACAAAAAAAAATTACCTTAACCTTAAGAACGACTCGTTTAGTAAATTACTTTGCAAAAATACTTTAGATTCGGGGTGTAAGGCGAACTTTTTTTCTCGTACGGTCTAATGTACATGTGTGCAGTTTGCTTATTGTTGCAATTGTACATTTTGTGTATCCTCGTATGTTTGAATATTTTAAAATTTTCATATATATGTATGTACATTGTTTATCATCATTATTAGTCATCAAACGAGCATGAGTAATCGATGTGAGGCAGCACGTGTGCGCAAATGGATTTCTACCACACAGGCGCCAATAAAGATTTCGCTTTTATGTGGGATAATAAAAAATTCATTTACATTAGGGTGGTCCAAAAACAGTAAAGTCGTAATTGTAATGCTCTCACTACCTAGAATCGTTCTATATCGAAAAAAGTATGCCCCTATTTTTTTATTTTGAAATCGAAAAAATTTTAGAGGTCGCTCAAAGCGCTCAAAGTTTTTATATGGGAAAAATAAAATTTTTCGTAGAAATGGTATACAATTANTCAATAATAATACCCAATTTTTTATTTAACCATTTTTTAATACTAACTAATTTTTCATTGGTCGCCACATTGCATTTTTCAGGGTTTTTGTTTTTGTTTTTGATTTTGTGGTTTTTGGTTGACCTATAAATTATACTTGAGATGAAGAAATGGTTATATAATTAAATAAACAATTGGATATTATTATTGGGAATCTCCTGCAGATAAACAGAGTTTTCTGGTAAAAAAATATTGATTATTAACTATCCTATACCATTTCTACGAAAGATTGTTTTTTTTCATATAAAATATATGGATAACTTTGGGCGCTTTGAGCGACCTCTAAATATTTTTTGATTTCAAAATAAAAAAATAAGGGTATATTTTTCGGTATAGAACAATTCTAGGAGGTGAGAGCATAAATATTCCGAATTCACTTTTTCACATACATTTTTGGACCATCCTAATATTTGTGAACTAAGTTAACAATTAAGTAAAAAACTGAATTTCTGATATCCGAGATTTTGTAATTACACATACATATACAGTGGTCGAAATACATACATATCCATAGCCGCACCACGTTTTGACAAGTTTTAACATATTTTTTTTTTTGTTGTTCTTTACTTTTGGTTGTTTTTTATAAATATAAAAATGTAGTTTATTCTTTAGCAAAACTAAATCCAAGTTTCAAACTTTATGCAATGTTAAGAAACAAAATCGACAAACTTTTGTAAAAATTTGTAATTGTTTTAATTAGATTTCCTAGAAAGACTCGGAGTATGCAATTTTGTGGCCCATAGAATTCTAGTGCAAGTTTCGAATGGCTAAAAATAAATTGGGTGTATTCGTGTGGAAGCAAATGAAATTTATTGGCGGCTTTAATTATGTATTTCGACCACTGTAAATAACGAAATTTTCTTTAACACTGGTTATTCCAGAGGCAGGCATCCAAAATTAGGCTTACTTTCGGTACGCGCCAGTACCAGAACTGTGATAGATTCCAATTTAATTGCGTTTATTCTTTTATTTTCATCATTTCATCTTCTCCACCTTAATGGACGTAAGTAGACGCAAAAGGGTTATTCAAAATGTATGCCCAAAAACAAATAAATATTAAACACCACACAACCTTGACACAGCTAGCTCTGAAACAGCAAAAGCAGCAGCAGCAAAAAAAATAGCAAAACCAAAGCAATTCACTAAAAACTGTCAAAGCTCAACGACGACCAATAAACACACACGAGAAAGGAAGTGCTGCTTAAAATTCACGCGGATTATTATGTTATGTACGACAGCTTTTGTACCTACCTGCCTGTTTGCACGACAACTTGAATATATGTATCCAACCGCCTAGCCTTGCGTGTTTGCATTCCGCTTTTATTTTGCCGTTTTGTTGTGTCTCAAAACCAGCCATCAACCGCTTGGCACTCTTTTATAAATTGTTGTGCTTGCCATTTGTAGGTGTTATACGCGAATTTCGCTCCACTGCACATTCATTTTGTAAACGGCTCCAATTGCAGCATACTCATTTCAACTGAGCGCGACTCGTTCAGCCGCTGTGTGTGTGCCAACGTGAGGTGTGTGGTGTGTACGTTTTGCCTGCGACACACCACCACTAAAACACTCGCATGTATGAATACTTTCGTTCTTGAGCGGCTGCTGTTACTGCTGCTCGACGTGATAGATGTCTCAGTTGTCTCAGCAAATGACAACAACAGGAATTAATTTATTAAATACTCCGCAGTTTTCCTTAAACACACATAACGTGCGCGCGCCAACCAACGCGCACACGAGTAGTAGACAAGCAGACAAACACGCCCGCGTCTGCGCGCACTCTAAGGCTTAAGGGACTCCGCCGGGGTCCAGCGAAGCTCGCTGTATGCGCGCATAAGGCGTGTGGAATTATCGCGCAACTACGCGTACGTATAGCATTTTATTTTTACTGCAATCAAAAGCTAATCGCATGTGTGTATATATGGATGTATGTATGTATGTACGTGCGTCAATCGTTGGCCAGATTTGCATTAGATTACAGTACATCAAGGCAGCTTAGCTGAATGTGCGACATTGGCTTAATGTTGATTGCGGCAAATATATGTGTATGCATATGCATACGCTGCTTACCCTGCAACAAGTAGAAAGTACATATGAACAATATACGTACATATGTATATATATAGGATGTATGATATAAATGCATACTGTATATTTTTCTTTTTATCTCTTTTACTTGTTTTTTTTTTTTAGTAAATTTGCTTCTTATGCTGATTTCGAATTTGAATTTCGTGTGAAAGTCGACAAATGTCTACGATTTAAGCCTTCAGGATAATATTAGCGCGTCCACTTAAGTACGCTTGTACTGCCGCGACGAACAGCGCGCGCATACCTACATACATATGTATGTTCGTATTAGACTACATTTGTTTGTTGTGCACACTTAGCTACTCTGACACTTACCCGCCAAAGTTCTGCATGCTCAATTGCTTGCAGGTACGTGTTATTGAATTTATGTGATCAGCAGCACATATTTATCAAAGTGATAAATGGTGTGTATGCGCGTGGCAGTGCAGGAAATCGTATACTGTCGTTTAATTAAAGCGCTTTGCTTGCAGATATTCTTGCTNTCTTTTTTTATCTCCTTTACTTGTTTTTTTTTTTTGTATAGTAAATTTGCTTCTTATGCTGATTTCGAATTTGAATTTCGTGTGAAAGTCGACAAATGTCTACGTTTTAAGCCTTCAGGATAATATTAGCGCATCCACTTAAGTACGCTTGTACTGCCGCGACAAACAGCGCGCGCATACCTACATACATATGTATGTTCGTATTAGACTACATTTGTTTGTTGTGCACACTTAGGCTACTCTCACACTTACCCGCCAAAGTTCTGCATGCTCAATTGCTTGCAGGTACGTGTTATTGAATTTATGTGGTCAGCAGCACATATTTATCAAAGTGATAAATGGTGTGTATGCGCGTGGCAGTGCAGGAAATCGTATACTGTCGTTTAATTAAAGCGCTTTGCTTGCAGATATTCTGGCTAGAGCTTTAGACAAAGTTGATTGTTGGTGTTTGTTGCATGTGGTGCAAACATTTGTTAATTTTATTGCATTTACATTAGTTTGTTGTAATGTTAAATGTAGAATTCAATTATAGAGCTTACATATTTTCCTCCAAAATACATTGGCATAAATACTTAATGGTAAAAAGTTATGTAAACAAAATCGCCCTTGTAGCTTGCTTTTGTTATTATTGTGTTAAATAAATTAGGCATTCGTTGCGCACGAACGAGCTCAAAAATGTATAAAATACTATGCGCTTAAATGGAGCTTTTAAAAAGATGTGCCAGCAATTCCGGTTCACTCAAATCCATTTTATACTTCTGTACTATATCCTGTACTTTTAGACGTCTACGCACGTGTGGCGGTTGGAAGCTGCATAGAAATAAATGCTTTTACAGATCATTCGCATTAAATATTTCGTCATAACTTACTTGTCATTATCCAAGCGCCTACGCTTAGCCATATTATGTGCCGTTTGTCGCACTAAATTGCCCACAACACGCCGACTCAAAACCATGCCATCCACCAAAGGTGTGGCAAAACTCATACGCCCCGTTGGCCCTTGTAATTTTACGCGCAGCAAACCCGATTGCAATGCATGTAAGAAAATAACATGACAATCGCTAGCGCGCGGCATTTGCAATGACTGCGTCTCCTCGCCAGTGCGCGTGTACGCTAGTAAATCATCTGCCAAAGTCATAGAACGCAGTATGTTAAAGTGTTAAACCAAGTATAAAATAGTTAATTTACCAATGGGAAAATTCAAATGATCTTCAAAGGATTCAAGCCACACAAGAAAGATCTTCGCAGGTGGTTGCGCCTGCAGCGACGGCTTCATTGCGTTAGTTTTACGACGCGTCGGTGGCACAGGTTCCTTTGAGCCTCCCACAACCTTAGTGTCCAATTCCAAAGAGAGATTACGTGATTTTTGTGTTTTTGCATTTTCAACGCTCGAGTCCGAGACGCGCGTCCAAACGTTGCCCGCCGATGCGGCTGATTGTAAACTATCGCCAGAGGAATGCGACGAACAGAGCGAGAGGCAGCTGCCATCTGTTTCGCAATGCGAATTCCATTCAGTTGGTACGACAAATGCTATTTCTGAGCTAACATCGGCCCAATAAAGCACTTTGGATTCGCCATTAAAACGCAAATCATTAGCGCTAGCTGTGGATGAAGCAAAGCGATTATTGAATTGCTTTTCGGCTTCACGTTGAACAGCGCTTTTTAGCGACCACGATGTGCTAGTAAAACCAGTCCAGCCGGAGTGTTCTTCCAAGTCCACGGGCCAGCCTAGAGGTGGGAGAGAAGTTTTAATGTCTTTGTAATAACTAAAAAAAAAAAAAAAATTTGCCACTCAGTTCCGTAGCTTACCCAAAGTCAACAGCATATTGCCGAAATGCGCATCTAGTGTGCGCATATGCTCGTCACTCATATTTCCTATAATCTCTTGCGCCATTGTTTGGCCCGATTTTACATAGAATACATGCACGGTATCATATGTGCGCGCACTCAGCTTATCCAGCACACCCAATTCCTGTGCAAATTGAGTACGCTTCGTATCGAGTACGATGAGCGGACGTTGTGCTGGAGTGCCCAACGATTCAGACGGATTATTCGGATTACGCTCCTCAAATGTAAGAAAGCCAAAATGTGAGAGAAAGAGACGCGCTGCCTGGAATTCATGACACACTGAGGGCGGCACACTTTCCTGTGCATGCGACAAGCTATCCGCACTATTATCGGTAGCGGCCCAGGCCAATTTCTCATCAATACTCTGATTTTCAATCATAGTCTCCAACTGGCGTATAGTCTCTGTGCCATATTGATCACGAATTTGTTCCAGTGTTGGTATGGAATAATCGGCCACACAAGGTGTCACCTTATCGACGCCATCGGGAAAGAATTTCTGATCGAATTCGATGCGTTGTGGCGTATCGTTCATCGGTATTGGTCGACCGGGATTGACAGCATGGTATTTGGTGCCCGATTTGCTGCGCGGCAAATGGCGCAATTGCATGGTCCAAGCATGACGCCCGAAGGGACCGCGTATCAATACTTAACAGAGGAGAAAGAGAAAGAACAAAATAAGAAAATGTGTGGGAAATTGGGAAATTAAGCGCCGAGTAATGTTTCTCGCTGATAACGCGCATTATTATGTGAAATGCAAGTGAACGTAAGTTACGCGTAATTTTCGGCGCTTAAAATTATGAGCTGTGAATTTGTGAATGTCAATATCAGTGGATGACTCGACTACCACATAAATGAAAGGGCTATAATTTTATAGATAANAAGAAAATGTATGGGAAATTGGGAAATGTTTCTCGCTGATAACGCGCATTATTATGTGAAATGAAAGTGAACGTAAGTTACGCGTAATTTTAGGCGCTTAAAATTATGAGCTGTGAATTTGTGAATGTCAATATCAATGGATGACTCGACTACCACATAAATGAAAGGGCTATAATTTTATAGATAACAAAAAAAAATATTTATAACTAACTTACACGTCACAGTTGGCTGTGGATCCTCAGCGTTGCCTAGTGGCTCTTCTAAAAGCGCCAATATAGTCGAATTTTCCGTGACAAAATATTTAAACTTCGCTATAGCCTGTTCGGTTGTTATGGACGAACCACCANAATAACCAACTTACACGTCACAGTTGGCTGTGGATCCTCAGCGTTGCCAAGTGGCTCTTCTAAAAGCGCCAATATAGTCGAATTTTCCGTGACAAAATATTTAAACTTCGCTATAGCCTGTTCGGTTGTTATGGACGAACCACCACCGCTACCCGCACTGCAATCAGGCATTGAATTGCAATGCTTCATCAAGGCAACCTCATCCAATAGCGAGGATATCGATTCTGGACCGCATTCGCCGGGAAATGAGCCAACTTGTTCGAGTATGATTGTGAGTAGACTTTCGGCAGCATCACGTACACGCATTGATGCAGGCTTTAGTTCTTTTTCGTCTTTAAATTTCGGTATATCACCACTTTTGCCGACGCTTTTCGTGCCCGAAATGCCCAGCTCGACTACCTCCAAAACAGTCTGTAGACAATCCTTGTCCTGCAATAAATACGGGTGCTGCATCAGCCAAGCCGAGGTACATTGGAAGGCCGCCACAATTGTGCTGTGCAAATCCTTGCTATGAGCTGGTGGTGGACGCGAGCACTGATAACAAATATAGTCGCAGATCCATTTCACGGCTCGCTTACATTCTAACGCGTCTGTGGATATTATAGTTAAATTTTGACTTGGTTCTTCAATTTTAACTAAAGTTTCTATGTGAGTTTGGTTTTGATTGAATTTGAATTTGATTTGGATTTTACCAAAACGAATTTTTTTGATTCGATTTTTTATGATTTTCAATTATTTTACAATCGGATTGAATTCGTTTTTGATTTGGTTGATTTTTTTATTTATTTTTTTTTTTTTGAGTGTACGAGTTTTGTTTTTGTTATATCATTTGATGAGGAAAATGTACAAAGAAAAACATGAAAAATGTTTGTTTAATTAACCCGTCTCGCCCGTTAATAACAAAAAATGTTTTTTTTTTTATTTTATAAAATAAAATATACAAGTGGCAGTGTTAAATACGTTTTTGTGTGCGTGTGAGTGTGTATGTACATACATACATATGTACATAGTGAGAGTAATAAACCAGAGCGCAAAAGAAAATACGAAGGAATACGAAAATAATATGCGTTTTTTGATGAAAATGAGAGAAAAGAAACAGAGAGAAAGAACGAAATTGTTGTTAGTAAATATAGAAAACCTTTTATTTACCGGTGGTAAATTTCCTGGCTGCGCTTAGGCGGCGTATATAGTTTACAAATATAAATTATATACAAAGTATGTAATGTGTTGCAAAAATATGATAACATAGGGATGGGATGGATATCAATCACATTATGGACGATTTATTTTAAACACGAGAAAGGGGATACAAAATTTTGTGTGTTTTTATGTTTGTATGTTGAGCAAGTGCACAAAAATGTGTTTTTTTTTTTGTTAGTTGCAAGGGTTTTCATACATTTATTTGATTTGTTTGTGTATTTTGATTTTGGCATATAAAAAAGAGAACAAGAGAAGAAAATGTTTGCATTTATTATATTTTAGTTAGGAGGATATGAGATGTTTTTAAACTGTTATTATTATTTTTTTTTATAAGTAGGGTATGCAAAGCGGTATAATGAATGTTAATATACATGTATGGGGTAAATGTATGGGTAATTTACTCTAATATAAACCTTCAACATTCACACGCATATTCGATCTTGTAAATAGCGCAACCAGTAGATAACCTACTTGTATATCAAACATATTTTGACCTCTTTTAATTAAGGTGCGGTTGAATACATTCACGGACAGTATATAATTAAGTGGCAAGGAAGGCGAATTTCCTTCCCATATCGTTGTGAATTTTTCATACAATATAAAAAGGGGCTAACGGTTATTTCTGCATAATTAACTAAATTAATACCTTTATTACAAGGTTCAACGTTATAAAACCGAAAGGTCCATATGTAGCCATATCTTAATTAAGATGCAATTTAAAATTGTTTTTTTTTTCTTTCTGTGGGAAGCACTAAACCACCTTAATAAAATGTAATTTAAAAAATATATAAAAAATAATAAAAAAGAAAATTACAAAATGCAAAAAAAAATAAAAATTTAACTCTAAATTCGTACTGTACGTACGCATAATGAAATTTAAAATATTATTTAAAAACAAATAAAAAATTATAAAAAACCAAAAAACCAAAAATAAAAATAAAAATAAAAATAAAAATAAAAATAAAAATGAAAATAAAAATAAAAATGAGAATAAGAATTAAAATTGAAAGTGAAGTCTAAATTCGTGCCATAAACTCCTCGTGATGGGCGTCGGAAACTACATGTTATGTAGGCTGACTGCAGGCGTATTTTTCAAGTATTCATGTTTTCATTAATTTTCAAAATCTAACTTCAAATTCGGAAATTGCAAAAAATTTATGCTATTTAAAAAAATTCCATGTGTAAATGAACCTAATGACTATTTTTTCACATAATGGCACGATAATTTTTAAATGCCCAACTTTACATTACATTAATTGATTGAAAATTACATTGATTTTTAGATTTAGCAACTGGTAAATCAGTGGGAGGAGCACTTGAAGACCTACACCTTCGGCTCTGATGTGAGTAAGCTGAGATCAACCGTGACAGAGTGGAAATTTCATTCGATGGTCGCGCTTTTTCGGACCCGAAGAAATTCGCGAAGTACGTTAGCCAGAAATTCACATTGCATCCTTCGGTAGATAAGGCCAAACGTCGAGTGGCCAGGAGGCTGCATAAACTGGCCAAAAACTGTGCTCCACTTGTTTTCACCAGCGGTGAAATGAACGTGGCCTTCGGGACGGCGAAAACCTTCAAAGCCATTAGACCCGACGCAATTTGCATGCTGATGCTGAGGTTCTCAACTTGCCAATCGTCACTCTTATCATTCCCGATGTGTGGAATCGGGGAAAGTGGACCCACTGCTGAAACCAGGGAAACCAGCCAACAAAGGAGAATCGATAACGCTCCTTTCCCCGGTGACGAAGAGACTTGAGGCCCTGCTACTACCGTACTTTGCTCACCACCTGACCCCAGCATAGTTTCTGCAAAGGGCACAGCATAGCAACAGCACTTAACGCCATAAACACTCAGATAACTCGTGGCCTAAAGCACAACTTCCCCTATGAGAGAACAGTCCGAATAGCGTCGGACCTATCGAAGGCATTTGACACCGTTTGTTATTCAAGACTGATTTAAGACATTGAGTCTGCTTCTCTCCCACAGGGACTCAAATGGTGGTGGGCGAATTATATAAGTGGTCGGCAGTCGTCAGCAACGACGCAGACGAATTAACCACAGGGTGGTGTCCTCTACTCCCGACTGTTTAATTTCCCTCAGCCACCGTAGGGAATTTCCTTGATCTCATACGCTAAGCAGTAGTTCGATATTGGCGTCTGGGAATGGAATTGATGACCTCTGTTAGAACGTAAACGGCCACCTCTCCGAACTTTCTCGTTTCGTCACTGCAAGGAGTCTGACATTCTCCCAACGAAATCAACGGCGACCCTCTTCACCGCCTGCACGAAGGTAGTCAGGCATCAACTAGGCATTCACGTCGATGGCACACCAATTCCGACGGTGAAATACCCGAAAGCTTTAGGGGTTACTTTTAACAGCCTGCTCTCCTTCTGCGCGCACACAACCGCAATTGTCAGCAAAGTACAGAGCCGCGAGCGACAAGGTAGTCAAGTCGCTTGCCGGTAGCTCCTAGGGCAAACACAAAGAACAAAGAAACGTTGCTGGCAACAAACTTGCACAAGGAAATTTGTTTTGAACAATGCAGCGTCTGTTTTGTCGCCTGGGACTAATTGTACGAAGCTACAAACTTGTCAGAACGCCGCACTCCGTATAGCGACGGTATGCAAGGCATCTCTTCGAGTACATGGATGCGCTCCAGACATACATAGTACATCGACCAACCACTACACCCGACGACGTGCCGACAAGTGATCAACGCCATTCATAGGGAATCGTTTACCACGTACCACCAATCACACACTCGGAGCTTCAACTACAACGAGAGATCCGCGCTACTCTGGCCCAGTTAGTCCGGAAATTTTAGCCGTCTTAACATCTACCTGTCCAGTCTCGACCCCGATACTACCAATGAGTTTCCGGTATTTGGATACTCTTCCCACGACACCAAGCACCTCTTCACATGTCAGCTCAGTCCTACTCAGCTAAAATCTCTCTCCCGTAGGTCCGACACCGTCGTTGCCGTTGGGCTGCAACTTGCACACATTTAAACGGAAGCAGTACTGATATTGAGCAGAAGGAAGATATAGGAGTTGGAGCTTTGCATTGATGGTTATGTTGTCACGACAAAAACCCCAAGAAAGGCGTTTTAAAATTATATCCTTGCAATTTCGCAATATTTGTTGTTGAAAAAATTATATGCTAAGGACTTATATAAACTCGATAAGTACCTCGAATTTCATCCTTCTAACTTTATTAGCTTAAAAAATTATATATTCGAACTTGTGAATCCAAACATTTTTTTTTTTTTAAATCTAAAGAAATTTCCTCTTTCATACCCATATTTTTATTCTACATTACATTGAGTTTTTTTAAAAAGTTTTTGGAATTAATCATATTTTTCGAAATTACAAAGTGTTTTAAAATAAATCCTGACATCAGGGAGAAAAAATAAAGACGCCACTTTAAATAAAAAATTAGGTTTCAAACCCATTTATTTATTATTTATTTTATGGTAAGAGAGATAGAAGCAATTTTTTCGATTTAAGTTGATGAAAAGTAATGAATGTCCAAATCCCGCGTTTAATCGCGTTAAGTAGGGAAAGAATTGGAGAGAAAAATCGGCCCTCTCTTTGTCAGAAGTTGCAAGATTTTACCCGAAGAATTTTTGCTGGTAAAATCTGATAAAGTGTCAAACCATCAGCTGTTCAAAAAGAAATATTTCTTTTTTATGCACGTTACCGCATAACTTTGAACCACGTTAACCGATTTCTATAATAAATTTTTTTTTTTAAGGAAAGGTATTACCTCGCAGTTGCTCCCATACTAATTTTAAATCTGTTTAAATCCGATCAGTAGATCATGAAGAAATAAACGATAATCTTACACTTTTATATGAGAATTGAAGTCGGTTTTGTTTTTTGCTTAAAAATTACTTGTTTTTTTACAAAAGTATAGTTTGTACTACAACGAAAACCATGTAACTCAAAGTTTCAGACCTTGACCTTTATAAAAAATTCCCAAATTTCAATCACAATTTCTACGAAAAATTTCGGTATGCAGTTTTTTAGCCCATTAAATTTTGTTTTATTATTATGCCAGTTTTACTCGGCTAAGAGTTCGAGTTGATTTTTGAGATTTATTTTGCTGAAAATTTTGATCATTTTCTCCTATATAAAAAAAAATCACGAATAGCGATCTTTCGCAAAAAAGAGCCTTATAAATAGCCACACGTGAAACAATTTGTTATAAAACGATTTCAAAAAAAAAAAAAATACATGAATAAATGATAAAAACTAGAAAATAAAAAATTACTTAAGTTCCAAAAATAATCAAAATTAGTAGATAGACTGTAAATAACGCTTCGGATATTAGAATATATTTGGGAGATCTCTACTTTTAGATATTGAAAAATCGTTATTTTAGGAATTTAATCTTTTCGATTTCAAATTTTTGTAAAAGCTTGAAATACTCGTATTAATGAAATCATTAAAAAATTTTATCGGCGGTCAATCAACTCTCATACTTGTGCCCATAGAATGCTTTTACCAGACTATATTTTATATATTTAATGTTTTGTAAATGGAACATTCCAAATGTGCCCATAACTCAAGCAATAAATGTATTGGAAGCAAAATTCAGACATTCCCAACGAATGAAAAAATAAAAATAAAATAAAAACAACTAGCGGTGGACGCAGCTAAATAATAAAACCCACAACCAATTCACACCATAACCACGCTTGTGAAATCTTACCTGAATCGCGTATGTGCAGACGTGCCAAGCCAGAGAGCAATTCCAAAGCGGCCAACGAAACATTCAAATCGGTTTTCCATGATGAAATCAAGCGATGACAAACCAAATAAGTGGCGCGCACGAATAAGGCATGTGCATTATCTGTATAAATAGTTGAAGGATGAAAGACCAATGTTATTCGAGAAGGAATTTTGCTGTATTCGTCATTTGGCATAATTCACGCTACAGTTACGCAGTACAATTAAGCTTTGCAAAAGCAAAAACGAAACACTTTACAAACAAATAAGCGCAAATCAGTAAATATATGTATATACAAACAACAAATATTTCAACACAAATTATTTGGAGCAATACATACATATTTGGTAGGAAAATCAAAAGGTGAATGCAAAGTAAAATTACCATAAACTGAAGCACTCTCAAATTCATGTAGCAATTCCATGGGGAAATCATCGGATATGGTAAGGCTGGGGAAATCATGTTGTGATGCGTTATCACGTCCGACGTTCCCACCTCCAGCTGCAGCAGCAGCACTGCCAGTGGCCGCAAATGTGCCGCTTGCACCGCCAGCAGCAACGCCCGAAGCGCCAATGGTTGCAGTGCTATGACCACCTAAGCTAGAATTACCGCCACTGGCTATTGATGCGGAACGTTCTGAGCAAGCTGTGCGCACGCGCAAATTGTTGGTGGCAGTGTATTTTTTAGTGGATGTTTACGTTTGTGTGGTTGATATGGTGGTGGTGTATTGCGTAAGTACATAGTTATGCAGATATGTGCAATGTACAATTGATTTTGATGATTTTTTTTTATGTTTTTTACACACACAAATTCGTGGACAAGACAATAAATAAAGAAAAAAGAAGAAAAATAAAAAAAAATATAATGTTAAATTTGACAAATTGTGCATCAAAATGAGGGCAGTGGTGATGTTTGAATGTGTCGATAAAAGCACGCAATGTGTACATACATACATATGTTGTATGTATGTATAAAGATACAAATGTACATGAAATGGTTTACATTTTCAATAATATTCAAATAAAGTTTTTTTTTACAAAAGAAATCGTAAAATTTACAAGATTAACAAATAGAAATTTCAGGAAAAGAAAGCTAATTGAGTACTAAAGTATGTACTTTTGATTCTGCTACTATTCTTTATCATACCCGAACTCAGCAAATTCGTATCGCCCGGAGTCGGTGATGCGGCATGCAAATGTTCATTTCCCACCAATTCGGTTTCCTCAAAGGTAACCGCGTCCTGCACAGTCAATAGTAGGCCCCCTAGCAGCATGTGTGTATTCTGCGCATCCGTTTCCACTTGTAGAGCATTCATTAGTATATTAATTAGACGTGGTTTAAGTTGTATAAAAGTGATAACACTGAAATGAAAATATTTCAACAATAATTTTATGCTCCAAAAAAAAAAGAAAAGATGAAACCACAACTCACCGCTCTGTAGACTCATTAGTGAGGTCGCGTATGGGCAGCGTTTGAAAATGCAGTGGTAAGGTGAGTATAGACAGCAAAATATTTATCGACGCACGGCGCAATTCTGTTTTATTGAATAGCATTGCTTGCGTTTTTATCTTCAAATCCTTATCTGGCAGCACAATTTCCAGCGCGCTTATGAAACCGGGCAATAATACCTGCACGCCATTCAGATCGAGACGAAATAGGTCGGATGAATTCAGCAAAATACTGGCCAGTGTTTCATCGCATTCCTTGGCTTCGGTGATCTTGAGACATTGCTGCAGAGCCATGTAGAAACGTGCCAAATACACAGGCAGAATTTCTTCGCCCGTCTTCTTAGCGCAAAAAATTTTACACAGTGTTCCTATGGCTTCAGCACGGCCCGACTCATACTTGTCGATGGTTAGCGAAGGCGGCAGACTACTTGGATCGTTCAACGAATTAGGTTGAGAGAGCGAAATGCTGCCCTTACGATTCTCCATGATCATCGACGAGGGACGCTTACTAGCTTCGGTGGCTTGTTCTTGTGAGAAAATAAAAGACAAGGCAAGGTTATGTTATGGTAAAATTTTTTAATTGCATACATGATTGCATACAAAATTTATATTAAACTCACTTTTGGTATTCAAAAGCCAAGCTTCACCCCCAATATGAGCTGCTTCAAAGAGCCATTCACCAAATAAATGCAAAATACTATTACACTTGGGACGAGCTGCAGCCAAAGGCGGGCGTTGTTCGAAACCAAGCGAAGGAAGGGCTGCATATGTAAATTAAATNCGAAATGCTGCCCTTACGATTCTCCATGATCATCGACGAGGGACGCTTACTAGCTTCGGTGGCTTGTTCTTGTGAGAAAATAAAAGACAAGGCAAGGTTATTTAATGTTACAATTTTTTAATTGCATACATGATTGCATACAAAATTTATATTAAACTCACTTTTTGTATTCAAAAGCCAAGCTTCACCACCAATATGAGCTGCTTCAAAGAGCCATTCACCGAATAAATGCAAAATACTATTACACTTGGGACGAGCTGCAGCCAAAGGCGGGCGTTGTTCGAAACCAAGCGAAGGAAGGGCTGCATATGTAAATTAAATTTATTTTATTAAAAGTACTTAATAGAGTTTTTGTTTAAGGTTTTCATGGGTTCAATTTTCCGATTTAATTTTTGTGAATTGCGTGAATAGTTTTATTTGCAAAACTTACATGTTAAGCTGTTAGAGGATGGTGGGCCAGAGGTGGGTGTAAGTGGGGCTTGCGTTGTGGACAAACGTGCACCAGTTATGCCGATAAGCGCGGATTTGCTCAAGCCTAAAGAGCGTGCATTGATACCGAAAATAAAATATTAAATAAAAATTTATTTCAATATGTTAGTCACATGGAAGGCAACATCAAAATAAGTACATAAATAACACAGATACAAATGTAGTATAAAAAACATAAGCCATTACAACAAATATGATAAGGTATTCCTTGAAAAATAATTACTTATTGGGGGCGTTAACCCAATGAGATGGAAAATAAAAAAGCTTATCTCATGAATTTGCTGTAGTCGAGTGATGTACTGCTGCCAGAGCGGTTATATACAGCACACAGCGACGCAACTAAACTAATCTAGATGTAAAACTGCAAAATATAATTTTAAATTGAAAGGTACACATACATATCTAACTAAATACGTAATAAAAACATTTATTCTACAATCACTAAAAATTCTACCAGAGATGGCATAAATAAGTTAACAAAGGCTACAATGTGTTCTAAAGTGGTGAACGAAACGCTTATAAAACGCATTTAAAACGACTAGCGATTCTGCAAATGTGTTTCAAAAATTTAACAACGTTATTTTAAAATTTTGTGTACACAAATCATGCAATTTAGTCTATCAAAAACTTAACAGAGGCATTTAACTTATCTCAGCAAATTACAAGTTTTTATAAAATAGTTAGAAAATATTCGGATATATGTTCGATTTAATTGGGCAATTTTAACCCGATAATCGTGCTATAGACTGAAATAACTGAATCTATCTGCGCTACTACGAAAACTGAGATAAGTTAACTTTTTCATTTACAAATTAGAAAAATATAGGTTTCACATGAAATTAAAATCCAATGGGGTGATTACAGCAAGCAAGTGCATTGTGCGCATAAAAACTAAAAAAAAAAACACGCAGCCAAACAAAAATCACTCAAGTCTCGCGCACCCTTTTGTGGTGGTGTGCTGCTGCTACTGTTAGTGCCGAGTGCTGGTGCTACGCTGAAACTCTTTGCCAAACGTCGCTGCAACGGTGGTGTGGGTGAATATGGCAGCTGTTGTTGTTGTTGTTGTTGTTGTTGCGTCATTTGTTGATTCCCATCTACAGCCGACGCTGATGCAGATGCGGCAGTTGTCATTGCCCCCAAAGGTGTACCGAACGTAATTGAACCGACAACACCAGCAGACTGACTGCCACTACCACTAGTGTTACCCGATACATTGCCGCTCCCGGTTGTAAGCACGCCAGCACTCGCTGGCGTAGATGCACTGCCGTGATGGCCCATAATGGCATTTAGTGCTGAACTGGCCGAGCCGCTGATAAGTTATCACGCAGGAATTGGCCAGCACCATGCAAATGCAAGTGTGGGTGATAATGATGATGGTGATGGTGCTGCTGTTGGTGCGCATTATTGGTTGCATTTGTAGCGGCGCTTGTGCCAACGCCTGTATTTAGTGCGCTATTGCTGCCATGGTGAAAGAAATTATGTATGCCCGTTGTGATCGATGAGGCAGTCGCCTCGTTAAGTGACAGTCGAATATCAAGTAAATTGGTAATTGCATCTTCCGCCTGATGCGGAGGTGGCCGATAAATGCCTAGGGTTTTGCGTATTATACACGGTTAATAGCATTTTTTTTTCGAATAAATGTTGGTTATAAAGAGAGTAAAGAATAAGAAGGATGTCTAAGGCAAGGTGTAACGTCTAGCGTCATTAATTGATACAATATTTATAACATATAAATACATGTAAAATTTACTACACTAAAAACATCAACTAAGTAGCTTAGTTGAAGCTTGTACATTGGCTCAAATGCTATATCATATATGTAAATGGGAGTATATCATTAAAGTTGACATACATATTTTATACTTAGAATGCTGCTAATTCTATTATTTTAAAATATAATATTGTAACGCGTGTTCAATTTGAATTGCGTTCAGCGCGCTTTTTTTGTATCAAAACAATGACTTTTTTTTGAAGATTGAATAGTTGCTTACCCAAAAACGCGTCGACTTGACTGGAAATGCCTTTAATTGCTTTCAGAAATATTTGGGGCAGTGCCTGCAAGCACGGATGCTGATAAGTCTCGGCACCTTTGTCATGTGTAAGGGCCCACTGCATGAAATGCGACGATTTACTGATGATGTGCGGCGAACATAGCGCGGTAGGATTGCCAATAGTCCGCAAAAAACGATACCAAGTCTGTGCAACACAGTCGTTACTCATATCTGCAGGAATTAACTGAGCATCTTCTTCAGCTAAAAACAAGTATCATTTACATAAATATTTATTAACATTTTCATATTTATAGCGCATACAAATCTTCAACTCTGGAAAAGCTGGTCCATATGTAAACTCCAGCAAGCGTGCCGTTAGAGCTAAGTTAACACGATTCCACTGATCAATCAATGCTATGCGATGCCGCCACATAGCACACGACTCATGCAGAGTTTTCCACAGAGAGGGCGACGGAAAGCAGCGCACACAGGCCAGCAGCCATACTTCAAAGAGCACGGATAGCACTCGTTCGCATAGTTGATCACCAACATCATCCTTGACGGTTGGTGGCGCTAGCAAAACTTCATTAATGGCTAGTAAGAAAAGGAGTAATGCCTCCCAAGTTCTGCGGTCCATTGTTTGGGATATTTGTGCTGTTTGTTGGAGTGTTCGCAGAACGCGGTGGCAGAGCACAGCTTGACGGTTAATAGTGTCGGCGCCTTGAATGAAATAATGGCAATGGTGAAAAAATTGCAACTAATACAGAATTCAATTTTTTGGACGAGCACCTACCAAGCGAGCTTTGATAAATAAATGGCAAGACTTGAAAGGGAAGGTAAAGCAGTTTTATAATGTGCACTATTGTTTTTTTTTTTTTAAATTACATATTTACAAGACTTAAAGCTATGATATGGCAAAATCTTGAATGCTTGGATAGGAAAGTTTTACTTTGTGAACCGATTAGTGATCGAGTTATTTTTGTAAGAAAAAAACTTCTAGATTTTGCCGTTATTTTGCANCTTTACTTTGTGAACCGATTAGTGAACGAGTTATTTTTGTAAGAAAAAAACTTCTAGATTTTGCCGTTATTTTGCATGCATTACATTGTGTGATTTTAGCAAAAGTGTCATAATTACAAAGCTAACGACTAATATTTTTTCAAAGTAGCACATAAATAAAAACATACTTTCCCCTTGCCGCGGCACAAAAAGATTGTGAAAGTGACTGACGATCTTCCGACAATACATGTTCGCATCTTCACAAATCGGTTTTGGTACACTGATGCGTGGTTGTGGATGCAATGCTGTTAACCATTCGCAGTAGACATTTACGCAGTCCTTTATAGTTTCGTGTTCTTGTAGTGGCAGTGACAATCCAAAGCAAATTACATCCATGCACCAGTTGACCTAAAAGAAATCCCACAATTGACATTTCTAATAAATGACAAATGCAATTTGACACAGGTGTGTACGTACCTCTTCGTCACGCACTAAGTGGCTTGGTTCTGCATTTTGTGTTATACCCAAGTTGCTTGCTAACTGGCGTACCACAGACACAGTTACCTCACGACCAGCGGAGGCTGGAAATTTGTTTAGCACACTGCAAGACTGTGCAGCACAGCTGTCAGCGGAAATTTGCGAAGACAGCGAAACCCATTCGGAATACATTTTGTGACGATCCTTTTTTGGCCTTGGAGTGGTTAAAAGAGGCAACAAAAAACTTTCACTGAAGACTACGCCACAACAACAGTGACATATCAGAAATTATTATAAAAAAATATCGGGATCAAGTAGTTAAAGTACATCACTGTAAGTCGTTCAGATTTCTATAGGTTTAGTCGTCAAGTAGCGATTTTTTTTAATTAGTTTAGCTATTTTTCACAAACAAGAAATCAATCAGATGGAGCAGAAAAATTTTCACTTCTCCAGCAGCTAGTGTTGCCGGACTCATGCGTTTGATGGGATTTTATGAACATAGTATTTAAACCAAGGGTAAACAACGATTTGTTAACTTTAAATTGGTGTTTGAAGCCTGGATTTATTTCTGATAACGTTTTTTATTGAATATACATGGCATTAATACAAAAATCAAACTATATTTGAGATATATATTAATAATAATTAATACACTAATAATTAATTGCCAGTAAGATTTCTTTAGGTATAAGCAATACTGATTGGCAGCCTTCCTAAAGATTTCCCTTCCATTCAAGATTTGGCAGCACAATAAGTAGTGCCCTAAATCAAAGGAGGATACAACGGAAATAAAACTATCTAAACGCATGCGAAAAAGGATGACATTTTTTATGGTAACAATGAAATATTAAACAGTATGAATGGTTGACGATAATCGACATTAATGTCGTACCTGGCGACGTGGAGCCTCTGAATTATCTTGATATTATCGGAAATACATTCAAATTTACGCATTAATAATCTATGCCACGTTTTTCAGTCGCTTACTAACTTTGCTATCGTTAACATCTGGCAATAAATTTCATGAAGAGTCTCCCCAGCTTGTAAAAGGTTTCTCCTTTTGGAAATCATTTGATGTTCTTAGTTTATTTAATTTCTTTTAATTTCGGATTAGCAAAAAAAATGTTTTTTGCCTTTTTTGAAAGACCTTTTTTGTTTGAAAAAATTTACCCATATTTAAGGGCCCGCTAAACTTCAAAAGGTTTGGTTTGAAACAAATATTTTCATATATATTTGTTTGGAATAAAATGAATCATTAGTGCATATGCCAAAAAAAGAATTTTTTTGCATCAATTTTAATAGTTATTTTCAAATTTTCAATGCAAAAAGTCAGTCGGAAAGAATTGGTATTTTNTGAATCATTAGTGCATATGCCAAAAAAAGAATTTTTTTGCATCAATTTTAGCAGGGTTCGAAAATAATAGTTATTTTCAAATTTTCAATGCAAAAAGTCAGTCGGAAAGAATTGGTATTTATAAATTTGTTGATAGCAATGTGATGCTGTTAGTCAATATCATTTAATTCTTTTTTACTTTTTGCAAAAAAGTCAACAATTAACCGTTATTTTTTGACTGATATTTTTTCACCATTTTTTGACCAAAAAATAAGACATATCTTAACTTTTATTTTGGACCGAAAAATTAAAGCCAATTTGTAACTTCTATTTTGGTGAAAAAATAACATTATTTTTTGACTTTTTTGAAAAAAAGCATAACCGTTACGGTCCCTGAATTTTAGTAGTTATCCCGATGGTGCGCAATTATTGCGAATATGTATTACTGTGGTCCTCTTCAAATGTATATTCGGCGGTTCGCCATTGTCTGCTGAGAAAGATTTCTAGTGGGATATGGACCCGGACAGTCCGGTTCTAGCACCTACTTACTATTCAACTGCTTCTTATACGGTAGACAAACGGGCTCGATTATTTGCATAACCACACTTTATTTGATTTGACTCATGCATTTTCCTTTTTAATATGCGCATAAGCAGCTGAACAAATGCACGAAATTTTTGGGAATAAACTCGGATCCGGGCAGTTTTCGTTGACAACACTGGTAAAAACGGCCAGCTGTTTTCTTTTGTACAAGTAAGCAAACAAAGCCCGCGAGTTCCGCGCCCGCGGTAGCCGAGTGGTAAGAGTTACGGGCTACAAGCCTGTAGCTGCC